ATACTTGGTGTTATTTTAGATCGAAACCTCTCCTAAAAACCATGTTGTGATAAAATATTTATTTGTATATTATTATTTCTTTGTTCATTAAAAGATTTTGATTATATTTCCTACAAGATCATCTAAACATATGTTTTGTTTTTGTAGAAAGTAGAGAGGTTATCCTCTGTTACTGGTTCTTTATGAATAAAAAGTGTTCTTTGTTTGAAGATTTGCTTCTTATTTTTTCCTTATTAACTTCAACAAACCACACATCTCCCAAATTTCTCGTACTATTTCTACCCTGAAACAGTTCAACCATTAACGCTATCTCCTTCCATAAAAAAGAAACCGTCAACTCCTGGTTTCCTCTATTGTTTTCCCTCACTTTGACTATAGTCACCGTTGTATGGTAAACGGTGGACTCTCGAGAGAACTCGAAGCCAAACTTAAACGCCTAATGAATTGCTCAATAAGTTTTGTCTTTGGGATCTCAAGAGATACGTATATTACCCAGTATTACACTGGGTTGAAGTGGCTCTATCCATACTACCGCAGTCAGTAATTCCTTGTTACCTTTTTATACCAGGCCATTAGAAGTCACTGACCCTTCTATATTCTTCAGAGTCAACAATTCAAATTCTCCATTCAATCCCGTCCAACCAGATCCCGTTCTTTGGTCTTCTATCCTCCTCCTCACCGAACTGCTGTGTTTGACAAATCCTCTGTAATTCAAACCGTCTCCTTGTGGTATACTATCTTTTCCGATATCCGACATGCACAATTAGTCTCTCATGTAAATATCTCCTTTTAAGCTCATACTCCTTTCCCAACCCGAATGATCACGAAATGTACATAAGAGGACTTCTTAAGTTCTCCGAGAAACTATTTTGTTTAATTATTTTATTTTCCTATGTTTATTCTATATATATGTATATATATAGATAGATAGATAGATAGAAAAAAAACTTTATTCTGGGACTAAGTCCCTTCAGAATAACAATAATGTACAAAATAATAGAATATTACTGGCCTGAACGTTGAAACAATAAATAAAATTGATAAAATAAAATAAAAAGTAAAGAAAATCTTAGGTGCACAAGCTATATACAAACAGATAAAACTATGCACAGAGCATTTAAAATTATGAACAAAACAATTAAAACTATGAACGAATCACTTGAACTATGAACAAAATTATATTTAAGGGTTGAACAACATAAACATACACTTTGAGAAATGAAGAACGAAAAAGAGATACAATGAGTTCATTTCATAAAAAAAAAAAAAAAAAACTTTTCTTGAATATATATATAAAAATAAAAAGTTACTTATAATTGAATAAAAAAAAATATATATAAAAAAAAATGTATGTATTGAAATTCCTACGTCGATAGTAGGAAATGCATGTACTATCTATTACCAAGTGTTATGATTATATGATTGCTACTCAATACATATATAATATCAATAGTTAGCTGGTATCAGACTGTTTTTGGAACAGGAATTGGAATAGGAGGTTTTTGAATGTATACAGGGAAGGGGCATGTCGAATTTTGATCGGGAGGGAATTCCAAAAGTTGACAGAGCGGGCTATAAAGGAATTTTGGAATGAGGCAGATCTATGAGAAGGGATGTATAGGTCAGAGGGTCGGGATCTTGTAGTGAGAGAATGGATTGAGGACTTAAATTGGAGAAGGTTGTAGGCATAAGAAGGACGATGATCGGTAATGATTTGATAAAGGAAAGTGCCAAGGAAATATTGTCTTCTTAAGGAGGGGAAGAGCCACCCTAACTCAGTGTAGTGGTGGGAGACACGGGAGCGTCTCGGGGTTCCAATTACAAATCTTACGAAGCAATTCATAAGTCTTTTGAGTCTATCACGCAGTTCCACCGAGAGGCCATCGTACACCACACAGCTGTAGTCAAAGTGGGGAAAGATGAGAGAGGAAACTATGAGTCTACGGGTATTTTGGGGTAGAAGATGGCGGAAGTGATGGAATAGTTTGAGGGTAGAAATTGCACGGCGGGATATATGAGAGATATGGTGATTCCAGGAAAGGGTTTGATCTATGAGAAAGCCTAAATTTTTAACAAAGGGATAGAAGGTGATGGGGTGGTTGTTTAGATAGAGTGAGGGAAAGTTGGTGTGGGATCTAAGAAGGGGCTTGGAACCAATGAGAATGGCCTGAGTTTTGGCAGCATTTAGCCTTAATCCATTTAAGTTGGCCCAGGCACTAATTCGATCTAAATCTTCTTGAATTTTGGCAAATGCCACCAATAACTCAGCGGGAGAAAAGGATAAATAGATTTGAGAATCGTCGGCATAAAGGTGGTGGGAACAATGGATAATTGAATCATTTAGGTCATTAATATAAGAATTGAAAAGAAGAGGAGACATGCTTGAACCCTGTGCAACTCCTGAGGATAAAGGAAGGTAGGCAGATAGAGGTTGATTAGGTATGGAAACTGCTTGGGTTCGTTGTGAGAGGAAAGACTGGAACCAAGAGATGGAACTATTGGAGAAGGATAATGATTTTAGTTTGTTGAAAAGGATGGAATGGATAATGGAATCGAAAGCTTTGGAGAAATCAAGCAGTATAAGTATGGTTAGTTTTTTGTCATCTATTGCAGTCTGGATATCACTAGTAATTTTAATCAGAGCAGATTGTGTAGAGTAGCCAGGACGGAAGCCAGATTGGAGAGGATCGAGTTGGTTGGATTGTTCAAGGTAGTTGGAAACTTGGGATTGTACTAACTTTTCTAGGGGTTTAGAAAGATTGGAAAGGATTGATATTGGGCGGAAATCTTCGGGAGAGGATGGATTAGGCTTTTTGTTTAAAGGAAGGACAATGGCTTTTTTCCAAGAGGTCGGGAATATTGAATTCTGCAGGGAGAAATTGTAGATGAAAAGGAGTGCTGGGAGGATTTCAGGGAGACATAATTTTATTAGTTTGATAGGAATGCCATCTGGGCCTACGGAATTGGAACGGGATTTCATTATAACGGTAATAAGGTCTGTGGGAGAAATGTCGGAAAAATAAAAATTATTGTCGTTAAAAGGTACCTCTGGAGAAAAGCCGGAAGGGGATGGTAAAGAAGAGGTGGAAACCGATATAAAGTGGGAGTTTAGGTCATCAGGTGATATTGGGAAAACTGAGGAAGGGGATCTAGAAGGTTCACAGAGGGAAAGCTTACGAAGTAGAAGCCATTTTGATTTGATATCAGGAGCTGAGGAAAGGGCTTCGTGAAAGTAGTTCGCTTTCGCTTGTCGGATCCTTGTCTGTGTCGTGTTACGAAGCACTCTGAATATTTGATAATCATCTGCAAGCCTAGTCCGTCTGAAGCGATATATATATATATATATACATATCTATATATATATATATATATATATATATATATATATATATACATATCTGGAGGATTTTTTCTTCCTGTATTTTTATTTTAATTAGACATTATTTTATAAATATTTAATTCAATGTATGGCCACACAGGCATTTGCTCTGTATCTATAATTTGTTCAAAAGGAACAACAGTCCCAGGATAGTAAACATATTTTTAATTCAATCATTTTATGTAATGCGCTGCCACCACCTGGTAAAGCACGAATTGATGAGACTCGTTTCGAGAAAGTTTATTGCATAGGTGCGGGTGGGATCCATGCGATATGCTGACATCATTAGCCTTCTCTAAGACAGTAAAGTCGGCAATCACTTTGGATCATACCGTAAGGTACAAAACTAACGATCAGGCATAAATAAGTAAAAATTACCCAATTCTAACGATTAGTTACAGAATTATGGGAATTTAAACTTTTGAAGTATTAGAAGTTGGTTAATTGTTTGGTTTTCCTTTGCAGAACCAATATTTATTGAAGCTTTTATTGAGCTTTAAAATTGTAATCATTTGTCATAAATTTAATGCAAACTCTGCTGATACCATAACTATTAGCATTATTATTGATCATGTATAAAAAAAATCTGAAACATAAATTTTCAAAGTTGTGACAAATATATCGAAAACTAACTGTAGCTGAAATATCTTTCTGAATTCTCCAATACAACCATATATTAATGAAAACAGCATAAAGTTCTCAATCAAATGAAAAAATAATATTACTGGGCTTTTGTGTTTGAAGTGTTTGAAATTTGAATTTACCAGTTACAAATACAAGTAAAAATTGGTTAAATCGCTCTCCGAATACATTCATATATATTACTTGAAACAGCATGCAATACTAATTCCAAATGATGAAATAATATTGGAAGGGGCTACTGAGTTTAATGAGATTTATTATAATATTAATTAAAAAATCAGGATTATGTGCTTATAATTCTGAAACTTATGGTATTAGCAGATTTCTCATTAAATTTATGAGAAATGAATAAATTTTGAAATGTCTTGTTCAATAAATATTGTTTTAACAAAGGAAAAGCAAACAAGTACACGCTGGTTTTGAGCTCAAAATGTCTTCCCAACTTTAAAGGTTTTAATGACAATAATTCTGAAACTAATCGTTAGAATTGGGTAAAATTTCATGGTATTTTATTTTGTATAAACGATTTGCAGAAGTAATAATTCAATTTGGGTAAAATACTTGGTACTCGGTACTCAGAGCAGTTTTTGCCCAATACTAAATGTAATTATTATTATTTTGCCATCTGACTGGCGAAATAAATACAAGTTTTTGATTGTTTTATGTTTTGTATTATTTAGTATTTATTTTTCAATAGGTTTATCTGGAGGAGGGGGAGGGAATACTGTCTTATGTTTAGGGAGTACAGCATTCTCGACATTCGAGTGAATGAATTATTGTTTTTATATTGTTACTGGAACGAATAACTATAATTGCTAAGCATGAAAATATTCATAAATATTCACAACTGAAAGTATTAAATAAGACACATAAATTATTGTTAAGATACAAGAGACAGAAGTGAGGACAAATTATTCTATATAAATATTCACATCAAGTAATCGTTCATCAACTTAACAATATAATATTATTAGCTTACCAACAATGTTCAAATTGATAAAGTAGGCTTGGACTGGTAAAGTACTGATTTGACATTCATAGATCCCAGCATCACGTTTTTGGACCCATTTGATCTGGAGCGTCCAATCGTCGTCTAGAGGGTGATGTAGTGCCATGAACCTCTGGTCTGAAGTGTATGTATAAGTTGAGACTGTGAGGATGTGGATGTCCCTGTGTCTGACCCAGGACACCTAAACAATTAATACTAACTTTACAATTTGTTATTCACAAACTATAATTATTTTAATCCTCATAATTAAAACATCATACTAGAGATAGGGAAGACTTGTCTTAGCTAATAGAACCCTCAGAAAATGAATGGACGACGAACGATACCTGACTAGAAATAGAACGTAGGAAGCAATGTAAGCAAAGGATCAACTAGAGCATAACTGGCCAACAGAAAACTCAGAATTGGTCTCGAATAGTAAACTATTGATGCTATTATTTCAATTAAAGTCATTGATGCAAGAACCGATTAAGTCCAAATTCACAAATTTGATGTTAAAACCATATTAAGTAAGACTCCACTACTAGGCTGTGAATAAATGAGCAACGCCAGATATAATCGTTTTTATCTCTCAAAGGTATTACTACTATGCACTTATTAACATTAATGCAAAAAGTAAAGTAAGTCGGATATACTACGTTATTAGAACAGAAAATAATTTTATTCTGGGACGAAGTCCCTTCAGAATAACGAAAAAGTACAGAAATTAAAATTTTATATCTGGCCAGATACAAACATACCTAAAAAGTAAAGATAAAGAAAAATCAGTATTAAAAAATATTAGTTATACATACTATATACAAAATAAAATAAAATAATCTATATACAAAACTCTCGAGACCATACTAAGATACTTAAAACTATGTACAATGGTAAAATATAAATAAACCCTTTTAGAAAAAAAAAATACAAAAAAAAAATGTAAATTCTTCTTAACAGTAAAATTTGTGTTTCTGTTGAAAAAAAAAAAGAAAGTCGAATCTGTAATAAGTATTTAAGTTATGAGCTATATGTGAATATATTATTATAAATAATACGTAATTTTACGTAAAAGGTTAGCTGGTATCTGACTGTTTTTGGAACAGGAATTGGAATAAGAGGGTTTTGAATGTAGATAGGGATAAAAAATGTCGGATTTTGATAGGAAGGGAATTCCAAAAATTAACAGAACAAGCAATAAAGGAGTTTTGGAACGAGGCAGATCTGTGAGAAGGAATGTAAATGTCCGAAGGTCGAGATCTTGTGGAGAGGGAGTGGACTGAGGACTTGAATTGGAGAAGGTTGTAGGCGTAGGAAGGACGATGATTGTTGATGATATGATAGAGAAATGTACCTAGGAAATATTGTCTTCGAATGGAGGGGAAGAGCCACTCTAACTCAATGTAGTGGTGAGAGACATGGTAGTATCTTGGGGCACCAATTACAAATCTCACGCAACTGTTCATTAATCTTTTCAGTCTGTCACGGAGCTCCACCGAGAGTCCATCATACACCACACAGCTGTAGTCAAAGTAGGGGAAGATGAGAGAGGAAACGAGGAGTCTACGCGTATGTTGAGGTAGGAGATGGCGGAAGCGATGGAATAGTTTGAGGGTAGAAATTGTCCGTCGGGAGATGTGAGAAATATGGTGATTCCAGGAGAGGGTTTGATCAATAAATAGTCCTAATTTTTTTTACCGAGGAATAGAAGGAGATTGGCTGTTCACCAAGGTTCAGTATGGGAAAGTCGGAATAGGATCTAAGGAGGGGCTTGGAACCAATGACAATGGTCTGAGTTTTTGAAGCATTTAACCTTAATCCGTTTAAGTTTGCCCAGGCACAGATTCAATCTAGGTCTGCTTGGATCTTAGTAAATGCTACCAATAGCTCAGGGGGAGAAAAGGATAGGTATATTTGAGAATCGTCTACATAAAGGTGATGGGAACAATGGAGAATTGAGTCATGGAGGTCATTAATATAGGAACTAAAAAGGAGAGGAGATATGCTAGATCCTTGGGCAACTCCAGAGGATAAAGGCAGGTAGGCAGATATTGGTTGATTAGGAATGGAGACTGCTTGGGTGCGTTGTGAGAGAAAAGATTGGATCCAAGAGATAGAGCTATTGGAGAAGGAAATTGATTTTAGTTTGTTGAAAAGGATGGGATGGTTAATGGAATCAAAGGCTTTTGAGAAGTCAAGAAGTATAAGGACAGTTAATTGTTTATTATCTATTGCAATCTGAACTCATTGGTAATTTAGATTAAGGCGGATTGTGTGGAGTAGCCGGGACGGAAACCAGATTGGAGAGGATCAAGTTGGTTGGACTTTTCGAGGAAATTGGAAACTTGGGATTGCACCAATCTTTCTAGGGATTTTTGAGAGATTGGAAAGAATTGAGATTAGGAGAAAGTCTTCGGGAGAGGATGGATTAGGCTTCTTATTTAAAGGGAGTACAATAGCTTTTTTCCAAGAGGAAGGGAATATTGAGTTCTGTAGGGAGAAATTGTAGATGAAAAGGAGAACTGGGAGGAATTCGGGGAGACATAATTTTATCAATTTGACAGTAATGCCATCTGGTCCTATGGAATTGGTGTGAGATTTCATTACTGCGGTTAGTAAGTCAGTCGGGGAAATATAGGAGTAATAAAAGTCATCATCATTAAATGATGACTCAGGAGCAAAGTTGGAAGAAGAGGGGAGAGAAGAGGTAGAGGAGGCAGAAATAAAATGTGAATTTAAATCGTCAGGTGAAACGGAAGAGACCAGTGAGGAAGGGGATCTGGAAGGTTCACAGAGGGAAAGTTTGCAAAGCATTAGCCATTTAGATTTGGGATCTGGGGCAGATTAAAGGGCTTCATGGAAGTAGGAAGCTTTAGTTCGCCGAATTCTTGTTTTTCTCAAGTTGCGGAGCACCCTAAACGCTTGATAGTCATCTGTAAGCCTGGTACGTCTAAAGCGTCTACGGACAGCATCACGCCTCTTCTGCAGATCCTTAATTTCTTGACACATCCAAGGTGCAGGCCGGCGGCGAAAGGTTGAGGTTTTTATTGGAGCATGGGTGTTAAGGATATTGAGGAGATTGGAAGTCAGGATCTCAACCATGGAGTCGATGGAGGAGCAGGAATATATTTCGTTCAAGTCTAAGGTTTCAAGGTTAGGTAGTATTTTTTCACGGGTGAGTGTGTCTATCTGACGGAAAGTGAAGGTTTTCGGATGAATCAGAGAGGTTTGGATATTATATGTTATTAGGATTATGTCGTGAGACGATAAAAAGGATACTGGCAGTTGAGAAGAGGAGAGGAGATTTAGTTCGGAGTCTATAATGAAGAAATCTAACCAAGTGTCGGCCTTGTGGGCATGGTGAGTAGGATAAAAAGGAACAATAAAGAGATGGAGGGGAAAAAAATAGGTTTTCTAGATAGGTTTTGTCTTTGGAATTAGAAAGGAAATTGGTATTGAGGTCACCGGCAATGATTATTCTAGGATAGAGGGGGACAAAGTTGAGTAGGGTTGATTCTAAGGACGGATCGAATGTAACAAGGGGAGGACGGTAGATCACTGTGTAAAGGAGAGGGGAATTATTACAGGTAATTTCTACTACTCCACTTGTGGATGTTCGGAGGGTGGGGAGAAATCAAGGATTCGGGACTTCAGACTATCATGGACAAATATGGCCATCCCCCCACCAGTCCGGCTGACCCGGTCGTGGCGGATGAGGGTGTAATTAGGTAAGGAGACAGATGAGGACGGAATATAGGGTTTGAGCCAGGTTTCTGAGATTGCGATGATGTGAAAAAGTTTTGAGAATAGTACTGTAGGGATTCATCATAATGGGCGGGAAGGGATTGCGAGTTAACGTGACAGGTGATTATGATGCTAGACCTGGGGAGGATTTGATGGGAAATATTCAGAAATCAGCATAGAGGAAATGAGGCATATATCATATTCTGAAAAAAATTTAAGGTAAGTATTGATAAGCAAAATAAAAGTGAATAATGAAAAAATAAGTGAATAATAAGAGTAAGAAAATAAACAAATTAGTAACCAAGAGCTATGAGACATTTTAACCAAAATCTTCAAGATTCGTTGGGCACCAATGAAGACAAAAAATACTTTGATGAACGAGAAGAAGTGATGAAATCTGTACAGTCAGGCGAAAACTTCAAGATCCGATGCCTGATTAATCAAGATTACTTGATGGCACATTGCCGGCAGCGAACCATACGTATCTTATCTTCCCGGCAGCTCTGTTCTGCCGGGCTAGCCAGTAGAGGTGCCTGTTCGTTGGGGTCATCTCCTCGCCGAGATAAATTCGGTGGCAGTCGTTTTCCTGCCACCCGATATCACGCGTCGAGAAGTCCCTCTTCAATTTTCTTCTCGCTATCAGGTCGTCCCTCACTGACTGCCTGACGAAATGTGCTATTACCGGCGGCGGTCGCGGGTCATCCTTCCTGCTTCTGCGGAGCTGCACCACCTCCACATCCTCCACTCCAAGCTTGATGCCCAGTCCCGCGGCTATACTGGCTTATTAAACCTAGAAATAAGAGGTTTTCTATTGGTCTATAAACTAGTCTTCCTCATATTATTTACTTCAAAGGAGAGGTCAAATGTTACATTTGTGCCCGTGTCTTCTTCCAATCCAAATAGTAGTATTGTCCACAGGTACAAATACATTTAAATATTTTTGGAAAATATGTACTGGAATGTTATGCTTTTTTTTTATTCTCATTTATGTAAATGAAGCCTATTGGTCAACAGATAATTGCTTAAAACAATTTAGTACAATTGTTTACCTCCTTCCTTTAATTACAAATTCCTTACCTAGACAATACAGAAAGTTCGTTAAGTGCCATCTCAATCTAGTCTCGATAACTTTTCGAGGCGTTCGGAAAGAAGATGGACACAAAACTTCTTAATGTAGAATTGTTGTAGGGCTACCAATGGGTGGTTTCTTTAGGAATTATTGCAATGCGGAAATGTTATTTATTATCTAGTTACATTTGCATATTTCAATAAAAAGAAATATTACATGAGTGTTTGCAGGTATAGGCTACCTTATTAGTGATTTATTGTCATCATTACTTAATCATTTATCAGTTCCAGTATTTATTATTATTGGGTTGGACGTTTTTACCAGCTTCTAAGGAAAGATAATTGGATTGTTTCCTTTGCTTTTTTTCTAATACTCTCCAGTTTCTAGCA